CAGACTCGACAACTCATACCTCGCACTGTCTGAGCTGCCGCAGCAGCCCCAGAACACAACCTAGCTCTCGGTCATGCCCTTATCATATCAATCAGCTCCCAAGTTGTGCCAAATGCATATATATTAAACCTAATGTTTACATATTAAAAAATACTGTGTTTTATCCATGTGTTGTGTTGTGTTTGCACAAATTGTAATGATATTGGGTACTTGAGTACGGTAACCAAGGTTCAACTTGGAATTCTGCAGATATCAGTTTTTTGTATTTTTGTCCTTTTCTTTTAATTGTTGTTGTTGAGAGTAGTGTTGGCAATTGGTTTTAATCTCATAACTGATGATTGGTTCATCGCCACCGATCAATCATCGAAAATAATTGGTTCGCGCCATTTATCAAATTTCCTGATTATGTTTCTTAGTGCACAAACAATAAAGAAAAAACATGTAGTTCTTTCGAGTTTTTTTGCAAAATGCCTAAAATGCATTTGCAAATTTTACATCTTTAAAGGATGACTAGTATGTTAGGAACCTAAAGCTCTTGGAGTCTTTAAGATAAATTCAATCCTGACTTGGAACGAGCTGGTTGTGCTATGTAACAGACAAAACCAACCTTGTGAAAAATATTGTTCAAGCAAAATAAGTGTTCCAAAATTGTTTGTGTTTGATTATGAGAAAACATGATCGATTGCTTGGTCGTTTAGTCATTGCGACCAATCTTCGATTATTTCAATTAATCGGACCACCACTAGTTGAGAGACCAGTTTTGTTTTCAGATTTGTCCTATTTAGTGGTAAATTAATAGCAAAACATATTCCTTTATGGATTTAATGTATTAGTTACTTTTCCTGGTGGTGTGTTTTTTAATCTCACCTCAAAATACACAAATGAAATGCAACAAATCCTGATAAAAAGTTTGGGCCGTTCCATAGGAATTACGAGAGACTTGGGAATTTGTTCCAGAAACACTTTGAATGAATTTTAGAGAAAATATCTTATTTATGATGATGTATTTACAAATATTATATTACTCCAAAATGTGAAAATTACTGTTTAAGTATAAATGTGTCGCTGGACACAAATATCTTTGATTTAGAAATGGTAAATCCATCTTGCAGTTTTAGGTATAATGAACATGCAAGATGCATCGCAGTGATTCGGGTATTTCCATTCCATTCATATCTGATTTCCTTCAATCAAGTCAGACCGCCTCCGTGGTGTAGTGGTTAGAGCGTCCGCCCGGAGAGCGGAAATAAAGTTATTGTATTTGGTGCAATTTAAGTAATAAATACTAATATGGAATATTGACATCAATGGGTAACATGACTTGCTGTTCAAGGTTTCAGAAAACTGAATCCATCAAACATGCCAATGCCAAGATCAATGATACCTGCATAGAATTGCAAAATCACATGCCATGCCTAAGAAATTATAATCCTAATTCACCATTTAATCACATAGGTTGCCATTCGCTGTGTATTCTGTGACAGTCATGTGATTATTTGATGTAGTATCAAATATTAGTACAAATGGCACCAGTTATTCTATTGTTTATCTAAATGGAGACATCTCAGTGTAATTAACGTCTTCAATATCTGAAAAATTGCTGAAGGGGTGTTTTACCTTATTAACTCATTCACTCACTCACTCGCAGGACAAACGTAACAGTGACACAAGTTCACCCAAAAGAGATTCTACCCGGACAAAGTCCAGTGATATATCTTGGCTACTTTTCTGAAAATGAAGGGGAACACTACATGAGTCTAAATCCAACTGACCAAATTAAGAGTAGAACAGGTAGAATGGGCAAAGAGAGAGGTAGCACAGTTCAGGTCGACAGTGTGACAAGAAGGTTGTCCGGAGCAATGGGACAGTAAGAGAGAAAGCTGTCCAGAGCAGAGGGACAGTCAGAGAGAAAGTTGTCCAGAACAATGGGACAGTGAGAGAGAAAGTGATCCAGAGAGTATGAGAGAGAGAGAGAGAATTTAAGTTGTTTCCCACCTGCAAATGAAGCTATGGCGGTTCAAGATGCGCGCATTTAGGAACTATTCTAGTATTCCCTTAAACCGCAGATCGTTGTTTCATATACATAGTCAAATCATAACTATTGGTGCTCTCTCCTAGATCAGTTGCTAGGTCCGAAGTCCAATGGTCAGAGCTACCATCTTGATGCCAAGTACCAATTGCAATTAATTCGAACCCCCATACACAATGAATTAAAATTGGAAACATTACTACAACATGCATGTTATTTCAAACCAAATTACGAAGGATCAATAAGCGGTTTTCTTTAAAAACCCAATTCGGTCACATATTATCAACAACGGAATGGACAGTTTGCAAGAAAGGTCAAACCTTCTTGAATAAGACATAATGAATATACTTAACCCAAAATACCATTTATGAAAACAACAAGTTTGAAGAATAAAATTATTCCTTTAAAACTTTCGAAAATAGACTATAAGATCGATGAAAATATCTCTATATACAAGTAAATTATATGTTTATCGACTATACTTACATGTATACTGAACGAGGTAAACTTATGTAAAAAAAATGTACAGTAACATGAAGTTTATTTTGTAAGAAACATTACGATATCTTAGTTTTTGTAAATAAAGTTAATATTTTTAAACTTATCCTATCTCACGGTATGCACTTCTCTCTCTTGATTCGACACTGAGTGGAACGATGTAAACCTTTTTCCCTAGGCCTCTCTTGTCCATCTGCCCAAGCACTCCATGCTACCCTCATTATAAGACAGCTTCCTAGCTCTCATGCAAAGCTTGCGGCATGCACCACTAGCTGCCCACTCGACTATCTCCGAATCATCATTCTCTTTCTTGTCGCACACGAGTGTGGACGTATTTTGCTTTGCTCAACGTTTTCAACTTAGTCTACAACATGGGGAAAGTTGACCAGCCAAAGAAGAGGAAAAAATGCTCCCGGTGTAATAAAGTGTTCTCCGTGAGTGATCCACATGGATATTGTATTGACTGTATTGGACAGTGTAAATGGGACTCTCGTTGCGATAAATGCAAGGTTCTTACTTGGTGACTACACTCAGGCTTGCGCTCGTCGTGTTGCTGACAGGGCTCGTTATGCCGCTTCACTTGACGGACCCAGTCCCTCCAAGTAAGGAAAGTTTAAGCATCCTACTTTGTCTGCTCGGCGGTCACAGTCCCCCTCACTCAAATGAAGAGGATTTCATGAGAACGACGTCAGATTCTTACTTATCGGAAGACATTCGACATTTGTTGGGCTCTCATCATTCCAGCCTGAGTCCTTAGTCTTCGACCACGTCCTGGGTAGTGGTTGTTCAGACTGCCACCACCCCTCAGGTGACCTCTATTCAGTGGGACCTTCGAACTACGCGCTCTGTCTCTCGTTCACCGGACCAGTTATCTCGGCAACCAGGCTTATCTGTTTCGGACAAGAATCAGCTGATCTCTACGCCTGACTGCGCAAAGCGCATGCGCAGAAGCCGTTCTTGCTCTCATCGTTCATCCAGTAGTGAGAGGAACCAGTCTACCTCGCCTCAAAGCCTGTCGGTGGTTATTTCGCCGTCTCCTTCCCATTCGGCGGAAAGAAGTGTGTCTTGCGTCCAGCTACCTCGATCTTCTGCTTCACCAAAGCCTGCCAGATGGAATCACAGTATCGCTGGATCACGCTTCGCCTGTCCGCTCCCCACCACCTCGACTTTCGCCAGACTGTCCTCCTTCCCCAGAATTAGACCGGCTCTCTACGAAACAGCTTTCGCCAAACCGGTCTTCATCGAAAGGCCAGTCTACGCTTTGCATTCTCTGGATCGATCGTCTTCTAAACAGACTTCTCCTAATCGAACTTCGTCGAATCAGACTTCACCTAATCGAACTTCGTCGAATCAACGTTCGCCGAAATCGAAGAGTTCACTGAAACGGCATATGATGAACCAACTTTCGCCGATACGGCTTTCTTCCAAGCGGTATTCAACGGAACGCCCTTCTCCGGATCATCTGTGTACTTCCCCGAACTCTGTTGGATCCTACAGTCATGTCTCCTCAGCACGGACAAGGCTTTCACCGAGTCGTCTGGACCAGGCTCCTATTATTCTTCTGATTTGTTCACCGGATAGACCTGGTAGATCTACTTCACCACCGAGACGCCACTCTTTGACTCGTTTGCATTCAACGCCTCCATCTACTTCGTTGAGATCGGTTCTTCGATCGAAGTCACCTCCTCGGACTTTGTCTTCTCGTCAGCATGGGACTTCCTCTTCTACCCACTCAACCTGTCAACCTAGATCTCCTACACGATCGACTGCTGCCTATCATTCAAGATCCAGGGATCATCATTCTCGTTATGATACTTCTATGCGTCTTCTTCCGGTTCGTCCCTCTCCAGACATCAATATGGTTCTACAGATAGGAGATCTACTCAATGGGGCTCCGATTATAGATATCAGCATGCTACGACTTCTGACGAGGCTCCTGCCTCCTCGCGTGTCTCTAGTCTACTCAGATTGTACCAGGTTCCTGGACTCCTGCGCAGGAAACTACTCCTCCCCCAGATCTGGCTGCGATGTTGAGTGCTATTCACTACTGCTTGGCTGCATCTAATTAACTGGCATTCAACCGAACCGAAATTCGCCAGACCGGCTTTCCTCGAACCGGAGATCCTTGAACCAGCATTTATCGAATCAGCAGTCACTGAATCGACGTTTTTCGACTTAACTAACCGTCCCATGGTTCACTGAACTCATCCAAGTATCATCGTCGAACTGATTCGGCAGGCCGGTTCGCTGCGACATCTTCAAACCAATGGCTCATCTCGTCCAAACCACATCGCTGAACTGATTCACTACAACATCCCCGTACTAGTTAACCAGATCGATCTGCTCATCACGGACTAGTTCATCGGGCCAAACTGAGTCGCCGCACCAGAACCGGATCATAGTACCGTTTCAGATCTTACCTCGCCGAGCCAGATTACTTAACCGATCCTGGTCATAGAAACGTGCCAGATCGCAGATCCAACAGCGTTTGCCGAACCTTCAGTATTCACCAAACTGCCAGCATTGCCTAACCATGCTGCCTTTAAGGTACAGAAATAATGCTGGTTCAGTCGACACACATGGTCACTTGGTTACAGCTACAGCTATCCGGCGTCAGATCATACTCACTCACTCATCTACAGCTATCTTGAGCAAGATACCAGTTGATCTACTTACTACATTCAACTTGACGGATCGGAACTTGTCAACACTGTTTTTTTACATGCTCATCGAGGATCGTGAACTTGCATCTAGATATGGTCAATTATACCAGCTGTTAATTAAACTCTACCAGCTTTCAACACAATGTTAATATTCAGGGCATGTGTGATACGCTGAATTCCTCACCACGGAATGGCATGCTCTTAGCATGACCATTTGACTTGGCTCTCCGGATTACAGTATGTGAGGCGCGCTAGAAGATTTTAGTCACATGACTTATCCCACCTGGTACCCCCTTTCTGCTGATTGAACAGATAAAGTAGCTATGTCAGTAGCGCAGACATTTCGATTACACCGGCACTTGACGCTCTTACGATCCCCGATCTCCCAGACTTAGACTATGTGACCACAGCTCATATTCTGGATTTATCTACCTTCCGATCTTCACCTTGATGAATGATTTGGTTTAGGAATCTACCCTTCGGCGTAGATATCAACTCCACAACCACTCGTCTGTGCGTTACTAGACAGGCTTGCTATCCAGGGTACCGTACTACAAACTACTCATAACAGTGTTATGGTGTAATCATGGCCTGCTTTGACCTCTTCATCACCCTTCCCTTTACATTGGCAAGCTTCTGGACAGATGGGTCAAGTTTCTGCGCATGGTACCAGTACTGATGTCTTGTCAAGTAGCTATCATCCCTTTGCCGGGATGTTACGGAGTTGTGCGGATTTTTGTCACTGTTGCATTGTGGGTACCATTTGCAAATGGCGGACTACCCCTTGTTTACCGGAGAATTATGATATTTAGAGTCACTATGAAGTACACTGACAGATCTGTCTAGGTCTTACAAGCAGATAACAATCCCAGCCTTTTATTGCCAGTGACGATGAACAGTGCCATTCCCGGTAAGAGTGATTATGTCAGGATTCGTCAGCCAGCCGAGAGAGACAGTTCACCGTGAGTTACTCGGCTTTCAACTTTAGCCCAAGCCCTCAGTTCAGAGGTCACTGCAGTTCTGCTCGCATGGTCCCCAGGCACCTATTTTACTGCCTTTGTCTCCCAGAGGAACCTTCCCTGATGTCGCCGGGCTTTTTTACCTTCGTCATTACAGCAACTTTACGAATGTTTTGGTAGATCGACGATCTCCATGCGTCGAATCTACTAACTTTATCACTCCATCTGGCGGACGAATACTTCATATGGCGAACCAATGTTCCTGAGATCACCGATTTTACGACCTTCATCACTCCGTGCACAGTGCGAAGGTTCCTGTAGATTGACTGACAGTCTCTATGCACCGACTCTACTGCAAATGGCAGGAGTGGCAGGAGCTACTAGGCTTTCTGACATCAGATCAAGCCCTAACGTACAGAGTTCAGCTTCGGCCGTTACAGCACTTTTTGTGCCCGTACCTTTAGGCCGACAATCCCAAGGAACTGATTCATCTTCTCGAACCCGTCATGCCGAAGACCCGGGTTCGAATCCCCACATGGGTATAATGTGTGAAGCCCAGTTTTGGTGTTCATGCGTAATACAGAAGCTGTTGACCACCAGCATGATTCTACTGCTTTTGGTCGTGCACTAAGTCCTGACCAGCGAGAAGTTAGTTTGTTGACCTAAGAAGTCTGGCAGAGCCAAACCCAGTACCGCTTCCCGACCCGGGGCAACCTGCTTTTTCACCCTCACCCGGAACTACTCCTATGGTCCCCTCAGACCCTTAATCTACACTTGGCGCATCTCCAGAGTTTACTCATAGCTAAGGCTACTCTCTTCAAGTAGCCACAGCTATCACTTCAGTTCATCGTAATTCAACCCATTCTTTCTACGACGATAGTGGAAGAAGTTTGAAGGCTGTTGTAACATTAGGGAAATCCATCTCCCAATCTGCCTCTACTCAGGACGTTTCTGCGTTCCTGCAGCATCTTCGTGCTACTAGGGAACTCAAGGGTACTACGTTAGCTACCTAACTGGCTGCTATCAACTCGGTTTTGGCTACTAACACAGGTATGAAGATCTCCACTTTTCCAGAATTGCAGAGTTTTCTTCACTTCTACAACTCACCGACCAGTCCAGGAAGTTCAGACTTCTGGCCTGGGAACTGTCTGTTGTCCTTCGTCAAGTGATTCTACAGACTACAAACCTTTAGAAGACAGGGACTTCGAGTGAAGTGACATTCTTCTTCCTGGTAGCATGGCTACTGCTGCTCGTATATCTGAGCTTCACGTGCTTGTTGTCAATCATGTGCGGTTCGAGCGGAAGAAGCATGGCAAGGTTTTTGTCCTGGGTCTCCACTGGGACTTCATCGTGAAAAACCAACGGCCAGGGCAACCAGACCGGATGTTTACCATTCCCCCGTTGTCCATCTTTGGGCCTGATGATACTGAAGATTTGACACTCTGCCTTGTTAGGGCTCTACACCTTTACCTTGCTACCTCCAAGGATCATCGATGGCTACGAAAGCGCCTCTTCATACCCTTGTCGGCCGCTTCAAGAGCTGAGGTTTCCCCGAGCCACATTGGTTTTCTGAATGCGTGGCGCGATCCTGTGACAGTTCCACTTGCGCGTTACTGCTTCTTTTTACATACGGAACAAAGTTGAACAGGTTCTAAATCATTGTTCTCAAGTTATGGGTTTAAGAACTACGGTACTTCACTTGGCTTCCATACCAAGGCATCGGAATACGGCGATGCAGAGGTGTTCGACATTCACGCTTACTGTCCTCTACTCCACAGAGCAATTACGTCAGTGAAGTGTGACACTCCCGAATTCCAGTGGGTTTTCGTTGCGTTCCGACTCCGAAGTTGCCGGGCACATCCTTTGACTAAGCTTATGCAAAGGAGTGAGAGTCAATTTGATGCTGTCCCTGAACTGAACGTTAAAACTTGGAGTTCCCGAGTTGTGCTTCTCTTTCACCCACCCCTGGTCGGTGTCTGTGGGGGTCTTCTCGAAGCAGGGGCTGGCCCGATTATTGTCAACCGACTTTAATTTACAAGGGTACCTTGAAAATCGTGGCGAAGTGACATCCTTTCTCGCTGAGCTGCGTCCTTCTTCGGAGGGTGCGGACGAACACCACATTGCTCGGGAGCACCCATCTCCCTGGGAGACGTTGTGCTTCGTAAGCCAAGGAGTTCAAGAGAACTCAGCACAAGCATAGGAGTTGCGTGCATGCATAACAGGCCTCCCTTGTGCATTGCTATCTATGGTCGTTCCCAGTCTACACAGTTCTGCTGTTCGCACTGTCAAGACACAGGGTATCTACGTCCCGCCGTCCAACCGTGGGATAAGTGCATACCGTGAGATAGAAAAAGTTTAAAATTTGAAAATTTTAATATAAATTGTATAGTTATATACTTATTCTATCTCACGCGACGGATTCCCACCCATCCTCCCTGCTATGCAGATTCTCCAAGAGGGATATTGTCTAGTGGCTCCAAGAATGAGAATGATGATTCAGGGATAGTCACGTGGTCAGCTAGTGGTGCATGCCGCATGCTTTGCATGAGAGCTAGGAAGCTGTCTTATAATTAGGGTAGCATGGAGTGTTTGGGCGGATGAAAAAAGTTTACATCGTTCCACTCAGTGTCGAATCAAGAGAGAGAAGTGCATACCATGAGATAGGATAAGTATATAAATATACAATTTATATTAAAACTTTCAATTTTGCCAAATTTGTGAAAAAAATGTATTTTGATTGTTACCCCTAATATTCAAACCTAAAACTGGATTTTACATATTGCGTTATTTTTTTACTAATTGAGTTAAAAATTGTTTTTACATTTTGAGTTAGGTGTTGTACTTTTTGCGTTAAAGACATCTTTTACATATTGCGTTAATATTTGACATATTGCGTTATTTTTTACGTTTTGGGTTAAGTTTTTACATATTGCGTTAGTTTTTACATATAGTCTTGATTTTACATATGGGGGTTGTACAAGCCCCAGGGGCAAATAGGTTTCCTTTCCCTAAATTGAGCCCTCCAATAAATGATTTTTTGTTGTCCTGTTTGGAGCTAACTCATTGAGATTTCAGTTTGGATTTTTTTATTGCCATATATATGTGGCAACGACAAAATTTAACACTTACTGAACGTAAACGAAAAAGAGTGCTTAGGTTTTGCCATTTTTTAATTCAAAGAAGACTGTTCTTGACATGTCTTGTTTCATTATGGCAGAAGTAATTTAACAATTTTTAAACTATATCTTATCTCACGATTTGCACTTCTCTCTCTTGCTTCTACGCTGAGTGGAACGAATGAGAACTTTCCTGTAGGCCTCTCTTGTCCATACGCCCGTGTTCCCCAGGCTGCTCTCTTTCTAAGACAGGTCCCTAGTCCCTGGCTAAGTGTGCAGCACGTTCCCCTGTATACCCATGTGACTACCTCAGAGTGATCATTCTTCTTTTTGTCGCACCACTGTGTGGACGTATTGTGCGAGTTCTCAGTTTTCCTTAAAAGTTAACATGAGAAATATATCATGGGTAGTTAACCCAAAGTAGCGTAATTTTGCGCACACTGTAACAATATTTTCTTCCTCGGATCCCCACTGATTATGTGTGGGTTGTATTGACCTGTGTTCCTGAAGCAAGCGTTGTCGGGAATGTGCTCCCTTATCAAAGACATTTTTAGAGCTCCCGTTGGCTGCCAGATAGAGCTCGCTACACTTCAACAGTTGATCACCCGACAAAACCCCCGCTTTCAACTACCAGTATTAACTGCTCGTCATTTGGAGATTCCCATGTTGGAAGGTGATGATTTTATTGGCGGATCATCAGATATCTACTCGTCGTTCCGCCTCATCGAACCGCTCTGTGTTGCCACCTGACTCACACAGCCAATCTACAGCGTCAAATCGCCAAACTGATTCATTCACCACACTGAATCGGTTCGCCACACCGAATGGATTCACCAGGCCCGAACCGTTTCGCCAAGGCGTATTGGATTAGGACATCAACTCAATTCGCCATATATAAGACTTTCTTATCGCCGAAACGGTTCACATCATCGATTCGATTCATCGCACCGAAACGGTTCGCCTTTCTTCACCGAAACTATTCACCTCGTTGAACCAATTCAACTCGGCCGGAACATTTCACCTCACCGGTTCATCTGATCGTTCTAGATCTCTCCATCAGCTGAGATCACATCAACGTTCCGGCTCACCATTCTGAATCAGATCACTAAGCTGAACTGATTTACTAGCCCGACTTGTCCCGTTTCACCAGGACGAACCGCGTCTCGCTGAACCAGTTCACCTGGCCGTTCAAGATCACTGAATCGTCAGCATTCATCGAACTGTCAGCATTCGTCAATAATCCGTTCCTCGGACCTTGCCTACATATTCACCGAATTCGGCGATTCTCCACTCGTGTTATTTCCAACACGGCGCATCTTACCAGACTATTTGATCATCAGAGCCTATGCAAATTGTGTCTGGGATGCCACTCTCTCCTTCTTCATCCTGTGAGCAGATTGTGAGAGCGCCTGTGTCTCCTATACGGCACTATATCCTTTTATTACTTAGTTAGTTCCCTCTAGGGGCGGTGGGGTAGCCTAGTGGTTAAAGCGTTGTCTCGTCACGCCGAAGGCCCGGGTTCGATTCCCCACATGGGCACAATGTGTTAAGCCCATTTCTGGTGTCCCCCGCCGTGATATTGCTGGAATATTGCTAAAAGCGGCGTAAAACTAAACTCAGTCAGTCAGTAGTTCCCTCTATTATACATTATAGAGGTTTAGCTAATATCCTTTTACAATATGGGTTGATATTTAATCGTATTTAGCACTGTTTATTCACGGTTTAGTCCGTGTTTGTTCAGTTGTTTACGTTTTCATGAAAAACTGTTCCAATTGTAGATTTCGTTTCTCTGCTGCTGACCCTCATCAATTGTGCCCTAGCTGCACGGTATCATGTTCTTTCAGCTCGCGCTGCATTAATTGCCAGCATTTAACTACTTGTGCATTTAATAAATACCTTCTTTGCGTCCTTAGACGTGCTGCATATAGGTCAAGACGGGTTGGTGTAGTCATGGATGAACCAGCGGAGTCCCTCACCAGTCAACTGATGTCTGACGACCCCCTTCCGTCTGGTGTTCCGCTGGAGTTTCCCTCGGGGAGAGGCGTGGGACGATGTCCGCCACCTCCAAGAAGAGACCTGCTACTCCGGATGTCCCTTCGTCGCAGCCTAAGACTAGGAAGTCGTCAACCACCCAGCGCCGACTCCGCACCCCCAGGGCGTCGTCCACCACCACGGGGAAGTCAGCGCAGACAACACGGACTTTCTCAGCTGAGATTGTCCCGTTGACGGAACAGGGACTCTACGATGACCAACCGATCGTCATCCCAGAGGTTCATCACAAAAAGAGACCAGTCTCAGCTACGGTGACTTCAGCGCAGATCTCCACGCAACCCGAGGTATCTACGCTGACAACAGATGAGCGTTCCGTGGGCCACGTCGCTATCACCGCAGAAAGGGCAGCGCTGCTTCCACCGCAGACATCCAACCCGGGGGACTTTATGCAGCAGTTTTCCCAACAGATTATGGAACTGATGGAGCAGCGGTACGGCCTGGAGAAGAAGTCACAGAAGTTGGCACAAGTCGAAACTATGACCAGGCGGATGTTCTTCGGCCTCAACAGATCAAGGGCAGTCAACGAAACGCTCATCGCTAAATTTCGAGACTCTACTGCGGAAGAAGATAGGATGATATATTTGGCCCTCCTTATGCAGAAGAAGGACCAACAGTTTATGACAGACCATCTCTCATCCATCTCCGCAGCGCTGACGCTAGCACGTCGACAAGGTCTCCTCACCTCCTGCAGTTGGAGTGAGCGCTTTACCAAGTCACTCTACACAGCCCCGTGGTCAACTCCTTCCATCTTCGCTGGAGAAATCGACGAGGTTGCCAAGGAAGTTACCAAAGACTCAAGGGAGGTCCTTATGATCAAGTCCATAGATACTCTGGCCATCGTCATCAGGCAGACATCCCAGCGCTACTCGGGCAGGTCCAAGTTTCCTGGGATACAGAGAGCACGGGACAGGAAAATGGGTACCTCCAGAGGTGGAAAAGATTCCTTTCGTCGCCCAGCCGGCAATTACAGAGCAAGGTCCGGATGAGGCAGGGCACCCAGAGGCACCAAGGATTATCGACGATGAAAGACGGGTTCGGAACGACTGGAGTCTTCCACCCGCAGCCGTTCCTGTACAACCTTCACAAGTGGGTGGACGCCTTCAGCTACACTGGGAAAACTGGGGAATACTTCAAGATCCGTTTGTATCCAACATCCTAAGAGACGGATATCGCATACAACTACAGGCCGCTCCACCGCTTACAGTCGACCCTCACAAGTTCGACTTCAAGACTCATCAGATAGAGAAGTTGCGAGAGGCGGTCTCATCTCTACTAGTAAAGCGAGCCAGAGAGGTCGTGGATCAAGCCAACATCACGCCAGGTTTCTACTCCCCAGTTTTCCTAGTGCCAAAGAAAAACTCTAAAGAAAAGTTCCGACTCATCTACAATATGAGCACGTTCAACAGAGACTATCTGAGCAGACCTCCCAAGTTCCGCATGATACATCTGCCTCAACTGATCCACCTCGTCCATCCGATGGACTACATGGCCAGCGTAGATCTACAGGACGCCTATCTGCATATTCCTGTACATCCAGACTCGAGGAAGTACCTCAGGTTTACACTGGACGGGCTACATTACCAATGGAAGGTCCTGCCATTTGGAATATCATCGGCCCCTTGGTTGTTTACAAGGGTGACGAAACCCATAGTCACATATCTACATCTTCGAGGTCTACGCAGTGCCTTTTACCTCGACGACGGGATTCAAGTCCATCAAGATCCCAAGCATCTCAGACTACAGTTGAACTTCACCATCAATCTACTTACACAGCTGGGGTGGTTAGTGAATCTACTCAAGTCGGACCTAGAACCTATGCAGGACCTGCAGTTCCTAGGCATCAGATTTCTCACAACGCAGAACCGCATCGTCGTATCAGAGGAACGATGGCTCAAGATTCAACAGACAATCCCACAAGCCCTACTCTCTCCGTGGCCACTACGACAATGGCAGAGTCTGTTGGGTCTCCTCACGTCCGCACAAGACATGACAGCCAGAGGGAGATTACAGCTACGCCCGCTACAGGTCCTCATCAATGCTCATCTCGACGACCCAGACCCCTTCGGTCTTCCGGACTACCTCAGACCTCATCTCCTATGGTGGACCCAGAGATCGAATGTCTGGGAAGGCATCTATTTAGCAGAGCCGGAGTGCAAGACTCATCTGTATGTGGACGCATCACTCCAAGGTTGGGGAGCACACCTCGACAACGATATGGCGGCCGGGAAATGGACCAAGGAAGAGAAAAGTCTGCACATCAACATGCTGGAGATGAAAGCAGTCATCAACGCCATACACCACTGGCGCAACATTCTACAGAATGCGCATTTCATGGTTCACACGGACAACTCCACAGTGGCGTTCTACATAAACAAGCAAGGGTCAACACGATCATTGAACCTGCTGGACCTCTGCTTTCAACTGTTCGACCTAATCAACGATCTGAACATCCACATAAGAGCATGCCACATTCCAGGAGCCAAGAATGTCATAGCAGACGCCCTCTCCCGTCCAACTCAACCGTCTCCAACGGAATGGATGCTACATCCACAGATTTTCAAACAGATCATCAAGGAGATGGGAGCCCCTCTAATAGACCTCTTCGCCACACGTTTCAACAATCAGCTGACAACATTCGTCCTTCCATACCAGATCCACGAACGTGGGCAACGGACGCTCTCAGCATATCCTGGGAAGGACTAAACGCGTACGCGTTTCCACCGCCAGCGCTAGTACCGAGGGTGTTGCAGAAAATCAGCCAGACCAAGAACCTCCAACTGATTTTGGTCACGCCCTACTGGCCAGCGAGAGTGTGGTTCCCCATTCTCATACAAGAACTAGGACCACCACAGCTGCAACTACCAGAGTGGACGAATCTACTAGTACATCCTCACACAAAACAGGCGCACGGCAACCCAGGGGCGCTCCAACTACACATGTGGACTGTATCAAGGCGTGCTTGAACAAGAGAGGGTACTCCGCCAGAGCAGCGAAAGCAGTGACACTAGCTCTACGCAAGTCTACACGCAACTTGTACGACGACAAGTGGCGAAGCTTCGAGACATACGCTGCCAGAAACGGGTCTTCAGCTAGAAAAGCATCACACCCTCAAGTGGCGGACTACCTTTGTCACCTACGGTAAACAAAAAGGCTAAAAGGGTCTACGCTTTCAACATACCTAGCGGCATTGAGCTCAGTCATCACTATGAGGACAGGTGCCAAGCTAACAAAAGTGCCAGAGTTACTGGCCTTGCTACGCTCTTATAAATTGGAGGACCAACAACAGAGATTCAAAGCTCCGGCGTGGGACCTCAACGTTGTTCTTCGACATCTCACCAGTGACGTCTAGGAACCATTAGAGACGACATCCTTTGAATTTTTGACACAAAAGACGCTGTTCCTGCTATCCCTAGCAACAGCAGCCAGGATGTCGGAAATACATGCTCTAGACTACGAGAGAACACAGTTTGATGAAAATCAAAACACAGTGCATATGGGACTATGATGGGATTTCATCGCAAAGAATCAACTGCCAGGTCAACCGAACAGACAATTCCACGTCCCAGCATTATCCTCCGTCCTCGGACCACAAGATACGCATGATTTATCCTTGTGCCCAGTGAGAGCATTGAGAATATATCTACAACAATCCAGAACTAGGAGACGCAAGTTCAAACGACTTTTCGTCCCGATATCGACAGCGACACAGACGGAGGTCTCCCGCACTACGATATCAATCTGGATCAGAACTGTCATACTACGGGCCTACAAGGCAGCAGGACTTGATCCTCCAAGAGCCTCCAACCACACGAAGTTAGAGCTCTGGCGTCAACACTCGCTCTACATGGGAATTGCTCGCTACAGACGATAATGGAGGGCTGCTTCTGGAAATCAGACATGGTGTTTGCAAACCACTACTTGAGAGATATCGCCACCGAGGACGTCTCAGGCATTCACCATTTCGGCCCACTGGTTGTCGCACAACAGTTGACAGTTCCTCAAAAACGTTGAGACGAAGTCTCGCTCTTTTATTACATGACTTACCAAGCCTACACTCAGCAGAGTTCTGCTTAAGTCTAAATGCACGTCTAACGACTAGCATAAGTGATATGACCCAGTACTTGTAAGAATACTCTTACAGGAAAGGGTCGCTTCTCTACTTGATGCTTGCATCAAGAAATGGAGTCGCAAAATCCACATAAAAATGTTAACAGAAGAAAGGACCAAAAGTTAACAATTGTGGTCCCCCCATCAAAAGACAGCTGAAAGGACAGGGTCGCAAACAGCAGCAGAAATTAGCAGTAAATACAGTGCCAATACGAAGTTCCCATAGGGGGGTATATATTGACGTAAATCACTACACGAAATCCTAAAGTATTTTTCCCGCCTCCAATCCGTCGGATTCTACAAGCAAATAAGCATGAGTCAGGATTAAGGAAAAATATGTAATTTTCTGAATAAAATTGATATTTTTATACTTATCCTGACTCATGAGGTAAGCCCTCCCAACCTCCCCACTAGACACTTTGGATTTCCCTGCAAATTCAAGTGTCGGGCTCATTATCAGGAGAGAGTGAACCGTGGGAGAACAGTGGCGCCACTTTTCCCGCCAAAACAAGAAACAGGGATAACTCTGGTGAGTAGTGATTTTACGTACGTTTTATTGAAGGGAGCTTCAATAAGGAGATACAAGTGTTCCACTAATTTCGCAAGAGGAAGAAGACAAGCAAATAAGCATGAGTCAGGATAAGTATAAAAATATCAATTTTATTCAGAAAATTACATAATTCGTGCAAACACAACACAACAAGCAATTTAACACAACAGTTGTTTTATTAATAAACATTTATTTGGCACAACTTGGGAGCTGACTGATAACTGAAGAAGGGATGACCGAGAGCTAGGTTACTGTCCTGGAACCGCTGCGGCGGCTCGGACGAAGAGGTGTGTCGAGTCTTCGAACTCTGATTGCTAAAGTGGGGTCTGCGGACCTGGTTGTAACCTGAGCTCTGGTTTAAAACTTGGGGGATAAGGATCCAGTGTTAAGTGGGTAATTGCCCGACCCAGTGTTAGTTTGGTACCAGCCCGAGGGTGGCGTGAAGTTGTTGCGGTGGTTGACAATGATATCCACTCTGCGGACATGGAATATAAGGGAGGATCTACGGATCCTGTTGTAACCTGCGAGGGAATTACATGAAGCATCAGTCAGCTCCAATACTCTAAGCATGGAAACATGTAATATTGTAGAAGATTAAGACAAATCACTATGAAAGAATACTATAGTACTGTCAGAAATAGAAAAAAACTGTTTTTAGGCTGTTTTTCTGTATCCCTAAAGGGGCGGTGGGGTAGCCTAGTGGTTAAAGCGTTGGCTCGTCACGCCGAAGATCCGGGTTCGATTCCCCACATGGGCACAATGTGTGAAGCCCATTTCTGGTGTCCCCCGCCGTGATATTGCTGGAATATTGCTAAAAGCGGCGTAAAACTAAACTCAGTCAGTCAGTCAGTCAGTCTGTATCCCTTGACACAATTGCAAATAGCATATGTCGAAATAACCAACTTCGGCCTAACTGGGCGTTCAGTGGGATGCGTAGCACGATATCCAGAAAAGCATGTTTACTCGTAAAATCGGGCAAAACTTAGAAAAAATACGAATAGCTGCTGAAAACAATAGATCAGACTATAGATGGCAATTAGGTCGCTCAGCCAGGTATGACGACGGACCGGCGACACACCTGGCATGAAATGCACGTGCTGCCGACAGGCACAATGGGTGATCTCAAAGATATTTTGTGCTTTTTCATGTGTGTTGACTATGTCTCATCTATTGATTAACATCTTACGTGTCTTTCTTTCATATAGTTTCATATAGTTTATGTTGATATATGTAAAAGAGTATGATATCCGAAAACCATAGAAACGCATCTTAGTATATAGGTGGCATGACCACCCGAAGATCGACAGGACTGGATATTATTTGTAAATTGTTATGACGTGCCGTGTACCTCCCCAGTATAAATGCCCTAAAGGATTATCTTATCTTAGCTGATATCTCTATCCCCAATCCCGATCCCAGGTTTTGCTTTTGAGACGACCCCTCCTATCTGTTTCTTTTTATAGTGACAGTGAGACTGCATGGTAGCTACATCCTTAATAGTTTCGGCATAAAAGTTATTATTTTTTACGTCAGCTATCGTTTATAATGAATCTACGTCTAATTTCAAATTGGGCATTTAAAAAGTGTCCTTTGTAATACAATATCGTGACACACTAGCTTGCATAAAGCCATGGTCTGTTCCAAATAAGTCTTTTTGGACTTAGAAAAAACCTGCATTGCTCATTTCTGCACTAATTTCCCCTCAGTAAAGTCCTTTTTCTCCGTTTCCTATCTCTCTACCACTGAGACTGTAGTGAGGCCGAACTTAGTTTAACAGATATTTCACACTTTCACATATCAACTACATAAATTGTAGAGATAAATGAGAAAATACAGTTTTTTTCTATTTCCGACAGTACTATAACATACGACAGAATAGGAAAACACATTGCATGCTGTGGGAGGGGGGTGGGGGTAGCGCTGCGGCGCTTGACAATGTGATCCAGTCTGCGGACATGGAATATAAAGGAGGATCTGCGGATCCTGTTGTAACTTGCGAGGAAATTAAATGGAGCATCAGTTGGCTTCCATATCTAAGCAAGGAAACATTGTAATGTTATAGATGATTAAAACAAAACGCTATGAAAGAATACTGTTATGGCTCCTAAGGCCGGGTGTGGCGTTTACGCAATCCCTTGTCAAGAAATTAAGTGCGTGACAGTTTTCTTCGTACAGTGCGTCTTACAAGGCGTGAATCTCAAGGGATGACGGCCCTTGATTTGGAACTCACACGGATGTTTCATCCCATCTCAAACTTAGCTTCGGCTATTAACACTGTCTCTCCAGGCCTGACCTGAGATGAATCCGTACAGGATCGTCACCTCTCTTCAATGATGGCTTGGTAGTGGATGGCCCTCACTGTCCTTGGCGAACACTTACGGGCAGATCTCGCCAATGCATGTGTTATTTGAGGTCAAGGATTTCTCTCCCCTTTTTCCAGTTGGGATTCAAAGTTTCAGTGAAATCTATCTGGCCAACCCTAGTCCTTGACTACCATATTTAATAACGAGTTCAAGGACGTTTGTCGAACAGTGTATGACTTAACTCAGGGGGAGATAGCCTTGACGGCCTTTCAGCAAGTCCAAAATCCCTCATCACATGAATCCAGTACCTTCTCTTGCCTCGACGCCACACAGTTAGGCGGACTTGGAATCAGGCTCCAATCCGTGGTTGGAGACGTGGTGACAAGTCTCATATCGACAAGGGAGGTTATGAGCGTAGCTGCCTCCCCTTCAAGGGTGATGGAAGCAGGGACAAATGAAGCTCAAGATCCACACGACTGGACACTCCCTCTTTCAGAGGCCCTTGTATTATCCAAACACCTGTACATTGGTGACTACTGCGTTTCTGAGGTAATTGGTTATTTCTTGGGGGTCCATACGTCACGACATCTGGAAACATATGTTCCGGCTCCTCATAGCTCTGCCTCAACGTTGTGCCTGGTTCCGAGGTTTACTTTCGACCGGGAGTACCTGCGCTTTTACTTCAACAGCTCCATGGTTATTAACTCATCATAATGTAGCAACAGTGATAATTTGGTGACTTCACGTGTGCTCTCCACCATATGGTGTAATTCGCATATGGACAGCAGACGGTTTTCACCATATGTCTTTATACTAGCTGGGCTAAGTAGCTGGGTTGACTTGACAACCGGGACGTTTCGGACCTTGTGCCATCACACACACTGATGTACATTTGAAGCCTCTTTCAAGCAGACAAGATCCTCATTCGGAATCCGGCAGGTACAGGTTTTAGACCCTCATCCCATGTGTGCTGTTCGGACCGATGTCCATCCGGGAATGACAGGCGGACATTCGTCAACATGTCGGTCTCCTGCCTCGCTTACCTCAGTATTTTTTTTCCTGTAGTGGACTCGCCCATAGATGTCAAAGCTGCAGTCCCCTTGACTGAGCGAGTTCCGAACTACCTACGTTTAGGTCGGCTCCTCCATGCAGAATTGAGGCGCCCCCTTACTATATATGATAATCTCAGGGTGTCGGTTATGAGATCAATCAGCAATTTGGAGCTCTAGGCAGTGTTCCTCGCTATCCGTCACTGGGTGCATTATCTCCCGGGCAACCCAATTGTTGTGGGGTTTAACAAGAGTTTGACCGAGTTACTGTTTCCAGAAGTTCCGTCTGTTTTCCAGTAATAGCAGACACCCATGTCTGTCTGAGAACTCAGCATATTCCTGGGTGCAGGTACATCTTAGCGGATGCTGTATCGGGATCTGACAGAGTCGCTTTCACAGACTGAATGCTACACAAAGATATACCGGTTTATGTGTCTCTGTCTCCGGATGGTCAGCCTGGTCAGCGGATGGCTTAAGCCTTTCCTGGGGGAGCTACATGCAAAATACTTGTCCTCCGGTATTGCTTCCAAATGTTTTCGTCCCAATCAAGATTTAACAACTTGACTTCTACTATATTTAGTCGGTCCCAGATGACCAACCAGAGGTTGGTTTCCGATTTGAAGCAGTCTAGTGTCAAGTGCCCCTCTTCAACTAGTCAGATGGGGAAACATCCTATAGTGCATCCCCATCCCACGCCAGAACGGTTCAATTAACACACTGCATCCAGGGATAAATCTACCCCCGCGTCCCGCGTCTCTGACGCAATAAATTCTGACAGGACTCATATTTTTTTTACATGTGCGTCCTCTTGGACACAAGCTTTTGATGTGTGGACGTCTCGGGCTATAAAAGTTTATTAAATACAAAAGTTTCATAGTGGGTGGGGTAGGTTAGGTAGTTGGGTGGGCGGCTGACGTAGTACCTACCTTTGTAGTCAAATATGTAGAAGCCTAGGCCCATGCGGACCTCGTGGCCAGGGAGACAGGACGATGTCACGCTTCTTGCATGCTCCGCCATCTTGAGGGGCAGAGATGCAAGGAGCGTGCGCATTGGACGAAATCTGGATTTCCCCAGTCACGTGGCCCGATGTCGACTATATAGGCCTACCCTAGGTAGGGAATCGCCAGTCGTCCGATACCGCGATCGGGTAAGTTTCTAGCGACTCGAGTCTTGGATCAAGACCAAGTTTAAGTTTCCACATATTGTTTGTTGTTTTAGGGATGTCGTGGTTGATTTAGTGTTAGTTTGGGAAGGGGAGAAATAGTATAGGAATGAGTAGGTTTGGTTCTGTTGTTTTCGGAGTAGGTATTAGGGGGTGGACATAGACCAAAGTTAAACTGTATTTATGTAGGATTTAGGTAGGTAGATATATGTAGGCTTGTTTAGATTAATCATGGGTTTTTTCACAATAAACAAGAATGGAAACCTAAATATTCGCTTGTTCTGACTTTAATTGAGTTGAATTGGGAGAACCCCGCCAGGAACCATTCCCACAGAACTTGCAGACAAGATGTACTGACCACGTAAAGAGACCAATTATCAAACACAACGCAAAGCATTTTACTTCAGTAACCAACCGACACTTGTCATACATATACAACGCTTCTGCTGTCACTGGAAGCCTGTTTTACAACACTCACGCACTTGCCAGCCTATTACAGATTTGGTGCCGAGACCAGGATATGGGGTTTTTTTTCCAATTTTTCTCAGTGTAGTCTACCAAAAACATGTCTGAAGATTTAGGTCTAAATTGTTCTTTGTTGTCCGAGACTGATGGTCAGTTTCGTGGTAGTGCCGGTGCTAATTTGGAGGAACCACTTATCGATTTGACAAGTGAGTTGCCCCCATTTCGCAAAATATGTATCCCACTTCTCGCCAGATTCACCTCTTTCTCAAATAGGAAATGGTGTTGGTTTAAGACAGATGAGTAGGGATACACAGTTACCATCAGCTTATGGTGCACGTCAGAATGCAGATCATCGGTTGTTTGGTCATATATCAGATGGAATCATGAGTGGTAGCCGTTCTGTGCATTTCAGTACACCAGAAATACAGGACAGGTTGCATACTGATTTTTCGGATTCTAGAGGTTGGAATTGTTTAAGACAACCAAATCCAGTCGGAACTGTTTTGACGGGGTTTGAAAAGTCTAGGTTATCTCATCATGAGGTTGTGCCTGAAAGATTTGATGGAATATCATGTGATTGGCAGGATTTTATTGTTCATTTTGAACAAGTAGCTTCATGGAATGGGTGGACAGAATATGAAAAGGCTCAACAACTTAGTATGTGTTTGAGAGGTGCAGCACAAAAACTTTTGAGTAGTCTTACGTTAGGGCAACTCAGCAGTTATCAGGCAGTGAAAAATGCTTTGAGTCAACGTTTTAATCCGGTTGAGCGGAATGTAGCCTACAGAAGTCGTCGTCAAGGTCGTGTGAGGCCGGCATTACTGATTTATGGGTTTGAACTCCGTAGACTAGCAAATTTAGCTTACCCTACCAGCACCCCTTCATCACTAGAGGTACGTTTGATTGATCAGTTTTTAACTGGCCTGCATAGCTTTGACATGAGAAAACATGTTACATTTGCACATCCACAAACGCTGGAAAACGCCATTTCATATGCCATGGAGTTCGGCCGTTGATGGAAGCAGGAAAAAAGAAACCTGAAAGTTTAGACAGGGTGGCTGGAGTGAACCAAACTAGGCAACCACTTGATAGTGGTGGGTTGACACTGGAGGCAGTCACAAAGTTAATAGATGATCGCTTGGAAAAGTTTAAACGTAGCTTCAGAAGTGCCAGGCCTAATACCTGCTATGTCTGCAATCAATCAGGTCACTTTCGCGATAGGTGTCCCTACTTATCAAAACTGGGTTTGCTTGATCGATCAGATATCAAGGAAACAGATATGGGAAACTAGTAAAGGCTGGGGTCGAGGCCGAGGTCTCAGCCGATGTTGGGAAAATTTGTAGGCCAGATGAAGATGTAGCTTCTGTGAAAAAAACTGTTTTTACTGTTGATATCGGAGTGCAGGTAGATTTACCGTCGTGGATGGGGAATAGTGTTGATCTCTTGGTGAAGCAATCTGTACTCAATGGTGATGGGTTAGAGGAAAAATTATTTTTATCTGGTGAAGGGAAACCGATGAAGTCATCTTCGTCAACTTGCTCCAGTGAATCAGTTTCACGGAACAGATTGTTTTACATTCTTTGAAACCTCAGAAATGTTTGTATACAGATGTTTTGGTGAACGGGCTTACCTCTAGAATGTTGTTGGATACAGGGTCTCCTGTCTCAATTATGTCACAAGATGATGTTCTTAAACTGGGTTTTCAGAGCATTAGTTTGAAGAAAGTTCACAAGGATTTCTTTACGCCAATGGTATGCCTATAGTTGTCCATGGTTCTGCTTGTTTTGAGTTTTGTGTTGGAAGTGTGGCGTTTCAACAAGAGTTTGTCGTTGCAGACTTGGGTACCATGGGTAGTATTCTTGGCATGGATTTCCTAGAAGATTATGATGGTGAGGTACATGTGAGACGACAGACACTGTCTACATCTAGAGGTAAACTCAAGTTGTACAAACTGAACACAGGTAGTTGTCTTGGGTTAGAATTGTTGACAAGGTTGTTGTTCCCCAGAATTCTGAGAAATTAATCAAATGCACTGTTGAGGGTTCATTTGGTACTGAATTGGGGTTGGTTGAGCCAAATAAATATTGGCGAAACAAAGGAATATTTGTGGCTAGAAGTCTTGTCCAGCCTGATAAGGATGTTGTAGTAATTTCAGTGCTGAACCTGAATAGCAAGAAAGTGTCCATAAACAGTTCATCCGCATTACTAGCTACAGTTAACAGAGTAGATCAGGTTGTAGCTTGTGATGATGTTGACACAGATGCACAAAGTTTGGACTTACCGAGTCACTTGCAGTCACTAGTTGATAGATGTTCCTCTGGTCTTTCGGATAGTCAAAAACAGTCCGTTTCTGATTTGGTTCGAGAATTTCAGGATGTGTTTGTGGGTAAAGATGGTTCGTTAGGACAGACAGATGAGACTACTCACATTATCAATACTGGTGATGCAACTCCTATCAAACTACCGGCCCGAAGGATCCCTTTGGCTAAGAAACAGTTAGTGGAAAATGAAATTGACAAGATGTTACAACAAAATATTATTAAACCTATTGTAAGTGTACATGTGGATCATTTAAAACCATATGATGGGACTCCATGTCCAAGCAGCTGGTTGAATCAACCACAGCATGACTCCGCTGTAGCGGATATACAGTCAGGGTAACCAGAGATCAGGCGGCGCAGCGGAGAGCGGCCATGCCTCGGAGGCGCCTGAGCCGTGAGCGACAGGAAGAGGAGGATCGCCAGGCGTTGCTTGAGTTTCCGAGCGACTAGTCGCATTCTTTCGCATTCTGTGCTGTTACTGTTAATTTTATTTTTATTGTTAATTCTTACTTGCTTGTTTTATTTTGTTTTTTTTGGTGTGTAAACTGTTATATATTTATTCTTTTGTTTTGTTTTCATATTTTGGGGGATTTTTAGGAGAGGGCCAAAAGGGTAACTTTTGACTTTAAGGGGGGGGGAATGTGGGCGTCTCGGGCTATAAAAGTTTATTAAATACAAAAGTTTCATAGTGGGTGGGGTAGGTTAGGTAGTTGGGTGGGCGGCTGACGTAGTACCTACCTTTGTAGTCAAATATGTAGAAGCCTAGGCCCATGCGGACCTCGTGGCCAGGGAGACAGGGCGATGTCACGCTTCTTGCATGCTCCCGCCATCTTGAGGGGCAGAGATGCAAGGAGCGTCTTGATTGGCCGAAATCTGATTTCCCCAGTCACGCGGCCCGATGTCGACTATATAGGCCTACCCTAGGTAGGGAATCGTCAGTCGTCCGATACCGCGATCGGGTAAGTTTCTAGCGACTCGAGTCTTGGATCAAGACCAAGTTTAAGTTTCCACATATTGTTTGTTGTTTTAGGGATGTCGTGTTGATTTAGTGTTAGTTTGGGAAGGGGAGAAATAGTATAGGAATGAGTAGGTTTGGTTCTGTTGTTTTCGGAGTAGGTATTAGGGGTGGACATAGACCAAAGTTAAACTGTATTTATGTAGGATTTAGGTAGGTAGATATATGTAGGCTTGTTTAGATTAATACGGGGTTTTTTCACAATAAACAAGAATGGAAACCTAAATATTCGTTTGTTCTGACTTTAATTGAGTTGAATTGGGAGAACCCCGCCAGGAACCATTCCCACAGAACTTGCAGACAAGATGTACTGACCACGTAAAGAGACCAATTATCAAACACAACGCAAAGCATTTTACTTCAGTAACCAACCGACACTTGTCATACATATACAACGTTCTGCTGTCACTGGGCATCTGTTTTACAACACTCACGCGCTAGGCGCCTATTACAGATGAAACACTAATGTTTATTTTTGTGGAGAGGCAATATCAAAGTATACATGGCTAAATCTTCGTAGATTAACTTCCCCCATTCTCAAATAATTGACAGCTAATAAGTACACATTATTTTTAAAACGATCGCAGCTTTCATTCATCATGATATTTAGTTCATTTCCGCGTTTCCAAAAATAGACATCTAGGTCACACAAAGGGAGGTAAGCGGTATGCAAATGAGATCCCAAGATTCATTGCTCGAGCATGTGCAAAACTACTAACCTAGTTTTACACTCTATAAATAGACACAAACAAGCTAAGGGAGGTAAGCGATATGCAAATGAGGTTTATCAAGACAAACTGATTGGTCAATGAACATTGTGACTCTGAATCCAAGTGTGGAGACAAAATCTGAGTTCTCAGTACCAGTTAGAGAAAAGCAGGCAGCTTTAGTCAGTAGCTGAACAACTGTTAAATCTATCTGCATGTAATTTGAAAGTGAAAGTAACATTTGACAGGGTTAAAGTTCTGCTGAAATAGAATGTCATTCTGTTGTTTAAGGTTCTGAATCCCAAGTCCTGGAAAAGTAATCATATAAATGAATCATTTCATTTATAATTATGATGACATTTATGATATAATTCGTTCAATGTTAATAGTTAAAGTAAGACAGTTACTATTTGTGTTCATACTTGTTAAAGTGGCTTCCAGTTGGCATCTTTCTTTTGATGTAATTTGTTTTTGGATCACTGAACAGAGTGAAGAAATAAAACAAAACTTCAGTTTGAATTGTAGAACTTTATTCACAAAATATTACAGTGAAATTACATGGGTCTGGCTAGTAACCTTTTTATTTTTCTAGTAAAAGAAAACATTTGCTTGTCAAAGGTCATGAAGAGCCCTGCTGTTATTTTTATAATATAGCAGCCCACATGCCGCCCAGATTGATACTGTCAGAAAACACTAAGTTAGGACATTTCAGTCAGGTTGGCCGAATTCTCACCGGTTATGGTTATGACAGGAAAGGTGATTTAATATTTTGTAAACTATGTACTGAAAATGGTATGACACAAGATGCTAAATGCAGAAATTTTTAAAATATAACTTTGACCAGACATCTCATCATAATGATAATAAACTGTCCGTTCAGGCTCCAAAACTTTGTGATGATTTCCAGGTTGCAACTGCATGTATTATGAAAAACAAGACAAAGCAGCTGGCGTCTTGATGAAATCTGTTGATTGGTTAGCTTGTGAAAACATCCCACTGACAAAGTTTAAACGTTTTGTTGACTTTTTATATGAATTTGAAAACGAAGACATTGAAATTCTCAAGGAAGGTAAAATCAACTATGATTCTCCAACCACTGCCAGTGATCTGTTAACATCTGTGTCTGATGTGATAGGGTATGAATTACAAGTTAAAATGGAAGAGTCTCCATTTGTTGCGATTTAGGTACTACCAGCTCTTAGGTACTATCCCAGACCGATCAGACTCACCTGTGCAACCTATAGTAACAATAAACCAGTTTGAATAATATTTGTGGCATTAAATTTTGTTAAGGACTCATAAAAGTTCTGAGGGACTCATAGTTATTCAGCTCAGTGAGTCCCGGGACTCGGGCAGTTGAATTTGTAGATTTATCCCTGTGCATCTGCAGGCGGCATTATGCACCAATTACTTTTCAGCCAGAGCATTGTTACTGCATTGCTGATGAACATTAGACTCCCATCAGGCACATGTATAACAAGGGGCAGTCGTTCGAGCAGTTGTGTTGCCACGAAGCAGGATCCGCTGAATACACACACACACCTCTGTTTTTACCAGTTTCCCTGCTGTATTTTTAGACGGAAGGCGTTTCAGGAAGGACATGGCTGCCACTTCTGTTAGTGGCAATTCGTTTTAGCAGTCCCCATTGACAGGAGTTACCGTCCATGCTTCGTTTCTTTAGCACTTGTGTACCCAAGCTGCAGTTTTGACCACCCGCCAGGACTCTCAACATGGTCCTGGACCGCCTATGCGTTGTGTCTTACAAGTCACTCACGAACACTTCCCTTGCAGACTTGCACAGCGATAGTGACAAGGGTCATGCATTTGGTGCGCTTGGTGTTAATTGGATCCAGTTTGAACGACGCAGTCATGGTTCTGTACCTCTGGGTATTATATGGGGATTTCATCACTACACACCCGTTGCCAGCTAGGGCGAAATGATTGACAGTTCTCTATTTCGCTCTTATCATCTGTTGTCGGCGTGAAGACGTTCTTGTGTTCCTCTTGTGTTCAGCTGGTGTACTCAGTTTGTACATTAAGCGAACTCAAGCCGTCAGAGGCACGTAAGCAAAACCCTGAATGTTTTGTGTATAAGGACTTCCTTTATTCATGCGTATAATGCGGCTGGTCTGGTTTCCCCTATATCTACGCCAACCTCCAGCACACTCGCCTCTACTATGGCGCTTCACTGTCACTGTACAGTGGCATTGATAATGCAAGAGTGTTTCTAGAAGTCGGACACAGTTTTTGCCAATCAGTATCCACACCATATGTGTCTAACGCTTCGTACCATTGGTGCCAGACCAGCATCTCAACAATCCCCGAAGGATATCACATCCTACATTGTTGTTCGCAATGAAGCGCGACGATGTCGTGTGGGGAATGAGTTGTTTTGAGCAAAACAACTGGGTATGTCAGTTAAGGAGTAACACTTGGATAGACTCAGGTCCATGCTTCTTACTGCATTCCCTAAAGCTAATAATGCTTTAAAATTCGTGTGGCCTTTTCCATCTAAGCATACATGGCTTATATACGAATGACCACTGAGATGTAATCCCTCTCTGTCGACAAGTCATCCAGATTCCACGATGGTGTCTTCATTCATGATATTTCTTCCCACGAGGCATGATGTCGCCGTGTGGGAAAAGAGTTGTTCCGAGGGAAACAACTGGGTGTGTCAGTTAAGGAGCAACACTTCGAAAAACTCAAGTCGATGCTTTTTACTGCATTTACCTAAAGCTAATCTCGCTTTAAAAATCGCGTGGTCTTTTCCATTTAAGCCTACATGTCTTACATGCGAATTACCGCTGAGAGATAGTCACTGTCTGTTGACTATTCTGCCAGGTACAACGAAGATACCTTCCACCATGCTTTTTCTTCCCATGAAGCATGCTGACAACGTATACGAAAAGAGCTGTTCCAGGAAAACAACTGGGCGTGTCAGTTTAGGAGTAACGCTTGGGTTAACCCGAGTCACTGCTTTTCACTAAAGCTAATAACGCTTTAAAAATCGTCTGTTATATTCCATTTAAGACTACGTGTCTTATATGCGTATGACCACTGGCTGATTGTCACTCACTGTCCGATCTAGGTGCGACGACGGTTTTCCACCACCGAGGCGCACTTGATAACATTGACATAGCTGTCTTTGTTTACCTTGCGAGGCGATCCCCACAGATGACATGCCCTCCATCCTGCCTGTCCGATAAATGTGCAGGAAGTAAGTAGTGCAGGATTAGTTAAAAATTTAGTAAAATCTAAATATATTTGATATTTGTATACTTATCCTGCACTACTTATGATGAGGGCCCAACTTGCGCTTTCAGCAACCTCCCCTCTTTGTTTTCATCTGTGGGATTTATGTCAATAATCAGAGGTGGCTGACGTCACCTTCCGGTGATGCGTGCGCAGACGGATGTTTACCCGAGACCAGGAAGTGATCACAGTCTACGCTTTCAACATCAATCGTCTGGCACAGCCACGTTTCGAGTCGTAAGCAATAAGTGCAGGAATTAAGTAGTGCAGGATAAGTATACAAATATAAAAAATATTTAGATTTTACTAATTTTCAGCCAGTTTGTAAAATATCTGAACTAGTATTAGGGGTCATAAAGATGACAACATTTCCCAATTAATTCCAATAATCTTTGTTGTTAAATGTGAGGATACACCCTTATACTAGCATTTGCACTAATGGGTGGTGCATCAGAGGTAAAAAACCTGTAAAGAAATCTGGGATATCATCCAGGTACTTTAAGTGAGTGAGTTTTAGTTTTCCGCCGCTATTAGCAATATTCCAACAATATTATTGTGGGGTACACACTGTGCCCATGTGGGATATCAAATCCGGATCTTCGCCGTGACAAGCGAACACTTTAACCACAAGGCTACCCCACCGCCTCAGGTACCTAAGTGACACTGATTCAGAGCAATTCCAAGGGACTAGTTGCTGGTTTTGTTATTGTTTTCCCCCACAACTACCCGGATGATATCCCATAATTCTTGACTGGGTTGCGGTCTCTGCCCCCAAGCTCAATTCGTAGTATAAGTATAATATGTATATCCTTACATTGATCAACAAAGATGAAATCATTTTTGATCATTAACATTTCCATCTTCATCATTATGATAACAAATGAACTCAATTTGAAGTTTAACTTCATCTGCCAGCGATGCAAAAGGTTTGGACTGAAAAAAATGTAAGTCAATGTAAGTCTTTATGTTTTTGTCTAATAATACAAATTATTTTATAATTATATATTTTTAAACTTATCCTATCTCATGATTTGTACCTCTCTCTCTTGCTTCGATGCAGAGTGGAACGAATGTGAACTTTCTCTGTAGGCCTCCATATAACAGTGTTCCCCAGGCTGCTCTCCTTCTAGGACGGGTCCTTAGTACCTGGTTAAGCGTACAGCACAGTCCCCTATCTACCCACGTGACTACCTCAGAGTGATCATTCTACTTCTTGTCGCACTACTTCGCGGACATCAGAAATAAATCATGGGTAGTACCTAAGTAGCATAATTTTGTATACAGTTTAAATAATATTTTTTTCCTCGGATCCCCACTTGTCATGTGTGGATTGTATTGGCCTGTAGTCGGGAATGTGCTCCCTTAACAAAGATGCTATTAGAGCATATAGACGTGCTTGCTCCCGTCGCCTAGGCAGATAGAGCTCGTTATAGTTCAACAGAGCATGACCAATCACCTGACAAAACCCCGCATCCAATGACCCGTATTAACTGATGATGATTTTATGGGCGCATTGTCAGGTGTCTACTCATCGTTCCGCCTCATCGAACCGCTGTGTTGCCAGCTGACTCACAGCTGGTCTACATCGTCAAATCGCCGAACTGTTTCTCCACACTGAATAGATTCAACACTCCGAATGGGTTCGTAAGTTTGGATATAACATCATCAAGGTTTGGAATTCTGTGGCATTCCCTGAGTACTGCTTTATTAAGTTCCTTGGGATCAAGACAAATTCTGACCTATTTGATTTTGGCTTCTCAACTACTACCATCAAATTCACCCCTTTGGGGTGGGGGGGGGTTGGGGGTGTTTGGCTCATCAACTTTGACAAGGACACCTATGTTCTCCATTCTTTCAATTTCTTCTTTTA